AAATCGTTCTAGTTGTTTCTTTTTGCCTCTTTAATGGCCCTTTAGTAGGTGTTTCGCGCTGCTAGAAAGTCCTTCTTATATAGGTAAGCTTCTTGCATAGAAGTCTCTTTTAGCTTTTGCAAGAATATCCTTTAGTAATAGGACACGTCTCTTCTTAGCTTGGTAAGCTCCTGGCTCCACCATAGCTTAGGCTTTAGTCCTTGCCTTAGCTGTGGGATAGCTTTATCTGCAGCTTGTTATATTACTAGAGTAATTGCTTCTCCAATTGCTTCTAGTTGCAGCTTTAGCTGTTAGTCTTGGCCTAGGAGTAGATTTCTTAAGTCTGCTTTCCTTGGGCTATTGATCTGGTCTAGGCTCTGTAGTATTGCGTTGCCTTAGATTGCTGTTGCTAGTTCTTCTTAAAATAGCAGCTAGTTAGCCCTTTTTGTGTTGTACTTTTGCTAGGCTGCTAGGTTGTCTACTAGTTCTGTTGTTGTTTGGATAGAGAAGAGCAGCCCGTAGTGGTCTGAGCCAGTTTCTGTAGTAACTTGCCAGTCTTTAACTTTGTTGGCTATGTCTGGCGTGGCAAGTGATAGGTCTAATACTGGCTCTCTTGATAGGTGCGGCCTAAAGAAGGTCCCAGCACCTGGGGTGTTGAGTAGGCTTAGGTTTTGGTCCTCTATCCAGTCGGCTAGCCCTTGAGCGCCTTGGCTGGTGGTTGGGCATAGCGGATCCCACTAGGGGTGATGCTCGTTAGCGTCAATAGCTAGTATTGTTGCTGCTGGTAGCCTAGTGCTCAGGAGGACTCTTGGGAACGTCTTAGTCCCTAGTGGACCTTTTTCGTTGTACACGTTTACAATATTAAACTTAAAGCTCTGCCCTTTAACAACTACTGCTATAGCGTCTGGGCATAGTAAGCTTTAGAAATTTAGCAATAGTATGGTATCATGGAGGTTGCATGCATACCTATCGTCTTCTTTCGTGACGATCTTCTGGGTGTCATCTTGATGGTCTGCGAAAGATGAGGTGCTAATTGGATGGCATGTGCTCAAAGAATTGATAGTGATTTAGTTGTAGTTGTATTGAAACTGAAAGTCAACCAGGAGGGTTTATGTGCGCATAGGCGGAAGGGTGTAGTCGCGTACGGGCTTTTCAGCCCCACGGGCGCACAGTGGACAGGAACCGATGGTTCATGCGGCGCGGATAGCTGACCAATAGATCACGTTGTTGGGCCCATAAGCGCCGTCTTTGCGTTGGGCCAATGTGCCCGTATGGACTGCCGGGGTATGCGGGATATACGCACGCAGGGACTGTTGGCTTGCATGCATGCTCGTGGCGTACACCCAGAAAGTGTGCTCGTGATGTTGGAGTGCGCGTCTCCTAATTGCCTAGGCCTAAAGTTCCGATGCACATGAAGGACCCACAAGGTCTCCACTATTGCTCGAGGTGATGTTACATCGAGGGGTCCAGGGGACCGTAGCCCGCGGGGTAATCACGCTCCTGCATTGAAGTCGCACGTACAGCAGTCCGATGCAACCAACGAGAGGAAGCAAGCAAGAAAGACCGAAAATCTCCTCGACATGCTACATGCATGCAGATTTCAAAAACAAAGTTACGATTTAAGGAATCTAGTATGATACAATCCATCATATTAAAACTGTCACAGCTCCTCTCAACATCTTAAATATTCCTTGCTACTATGTATACTATATATCGTCTACGAAAAACGAGATCTCGCCATCGCACTTACCTTTGTATCTTCAGGTTGAAATCCACAATGTAGAAGATGTATGTCCTGCTCACACCGGCGCACACCATGCCGAACGGCTTCCTCGAAATGGGCAGTGCCGCACACTTAATTGCATTAGTCTCGCATACGCGTGTCAAAGATGATCTTCATACCTAGCGCCGCCATACTTCCTGCCTCAGCCAAATTTTCTTTGCTTATGAACCAACCGAGGTCCAAGAATTGATCGGTCCGAAAACAGCGCTCGGATATACCAAGAGAGGTGTGGTCCTGCACCACACCCTCGCCAGGAACATACATGGCTAATGTGAAGATGTGGCGTTGGTCACTGTTCATCAATCTTTGTAGGATGGATTTCACCCACTGTTCCTGACCTGTCCGAAATCAGCGTTATTCTTTTATGACTAGTCTCTGCTTACTGGTCGTTTCGAGGAACCAAACAAGAGTAATGCGTCGAACTCTAGCACTCTGATCCTCATGAGCAACAAGCAGATCGCGTATTGCAAGTAAATGTGCTACAATCCCAATGCCACTGGCTAAGAATAACACTTTGTCATAACGGTTGAGATGATGTGGAGAACCGTATGGGCCGTCAACTATTGACGATAGCTGCAGGTTGGCGGCGTGGTGTAAGTTAGCACTGAATCCTGCAAGACGTTGAACAATCAGAGTTATCTCAGACCCATCCACCCAGGCTATTGAGTAAGGGTGTGCCTGGATAAACCCTGCACGATGGCGCGACACACCCGGCAACGTTAGATAGATATACTGTCCTGGACGAATCAGCCAATGCTTCTTCAGTGGCACAGTGACACTCGCTGCGTCAGGAACGCCACTTTTGCTTATGAAAGCATTTACTGTTACTCCATTCGCCGTTTTAAGGCCTAAGTTTTGATTGCCAAGCCGAATAAGCCAAAGGATTTTTTGAACAAGCCAGGCTGCCGAAGTTAGACTAAGGCAGACAAGGGCTCTTCGGTTACGGAACGGAATATGGAACCAGAGCACACCGACGAACATCAATGCAAAAAGCAGATGTGTCTTTATGAAAAGCTCAAAAATATATCGACGAACAAATATGAATGAAACGACTATCAAAGCAGTGGCGAGAGAAAGAAGCTATAGAGCATTGAGTGTAAGCGTTTGTAGAGGCCATTTCGTTGAGTACGTACCAACGATTGTACTATCGTAAGACGTGGGCCCAACATCGCATGTAAAACGCCGTGTACCAGGCCTTCTGCAATGCAAACGCGACCCACCCAACGATGGATAAGAGATGATTGGCTTGGGTGTAGTCGAATAAGTCGGTCTCCAAGCAGACTAGTTCTTCCTCCCAATAGAAGTGGTACAAGGTTTATGATGAATAGACTCCCGCAGCGATTGGCTAATTCCTCACGATTGCCGACATCAAGAGCGCAAGCTGCAATATTGGCGGCAAAATAAATAACGATCTTCAAGAAAGTGAGAACAGACACATTGTCCGAGCCGATCCGACGACGGTAGAATGTTGTGTAGATCAATCTTTTACGCAGGAAAGAACACAGCCTACGCCGTGCAGGTGTTTCCAAGAAGCGAAGCGCTTTCCAGATGAGAAGCAGACCAAATGCAGAGGCTAATGCCACCGCGTAGACCAAGCTAGTTTGCATGATTATTTGCCTCGGAAAGGTCCAGGCCGTACGCCCGGCATATATATCTGGCCTTATATCCGAGCAATGCTTAAAATGGAAAATGAAAAAACAAGAACCGAAAGCCGATAAGCGGAATAGTGGCGTGTTTGCGGTGAGCGATTTGCGGAAACCCGTTGTTCAGAATGGAGCGCAACGTGGGACTTTGGCCCCACATTCATGGTCAGGGGTTCGAGTTGCGCCGTACATATGCAGAGAAGATCTCTGATCCTTCAAATATAGCTGCGCTTATGCGGGCATTCCTATTGGCCCAAATATGTCCTATGAACCGCCGTGCCCTGTTGGTACAGCATGTGGATTTTGCCACGGCCAATAAGTTTCAGGCTCAGTTTGCAGCGCGCTTGTTCCACCAACTGCGGGTTCTATAGATACATATACCATGCATTTGTAGCAAAAAACTGTCAATCACAACCATTCTTACCTTGTTATTGCTCTACTCAACCAGTCGTAGTTACTATGGCATCGAAAGAAGCACAGAAGCTGTTTGATCGTCGAAGGACCGGTCTCGATCGGAAGGCCCGAGATCTCATCATGAAGTCGCTGTCCATGCACAACGTCGATCTCGGAATCACTATCATATATGAGTTCGGGGAAGAAGTGAGCATGTTTCGCTCTCATTTAGACGACGGGCGTTGGTGGTCCACAGTACAGGACCTGGTGAGTTTGTTCCAACTTCTGGTATGTAAGAAATATCCTAACTTACAATGTGAATGCTAGAAAAATACGTGTGGTAAGGGTATCACGGGGATGGGAGTTATTAATGAGGAAACTCGGGGCCTTTGGGAGTGGCAGGTTCACCAGGAACGAAAAAAACGACCTCAAAGCAACTTTCGTAACCCTCGCTCAGGGTCCGATGGGAAACGAGAGTTACCTGAGGAAATACTCAGAACAAGCAGAGGACTTTTGACAGCTGGGCCTGCTGATGATTCAGAGGACGACGGTTCGGGAGATGAGACCTCTAACGACAAGGCTTCAGAGGGCAACGAAACACCAGAAACATCTGCTGATGAAGATGATCCATCAGACGACGACGATGACGATGAAGAGCCAATAAAGACGAAGCAGAATGTCAGACAAAGGAAACAGCCTTTACGACGCGTTAAGAGCACTGGAGGCTCATATCATGGGTCGCCAAAACGCCCACGTGAAGACGACGCGATGTCGATGCAATGGAGTATGTCTGACCCGCCTCCACAGCAGCCACTTTTTCAGTATTCACCAAACTTCAACAATTACACGCACAACCCTAACAGTAACCCCAACGGACAATTTACCTCTTTACCAAATCACCCAGCCCCGGCATTATCCATGCTTCAACAAGGACATAACCCGATAACAGTGCATCAACCCGATATTTACAACTCAGGTTATGCCCCAGAGTTAGGATTTGGTGCTCATATCTATCAAGAACCTATGCAAACAGGTTCCATGGGTTCACGTCCAGTTCAGATACCAGAGGTGCCACAGCCAAAGAAAGCCAAGAGAAGCAAATCTACTTCTGCTGTAACAAAGAAAAGAACCTCGAAAAGGTTTAAAGAGTAAGGGTTTAGGATTCTCAGTTCTTTTCGTTCATTTGTTCGTTTTCATCCCTCAAATTTTATAGTTATGTCAAAACTGCTAGTCTTCTTAGTTTGGCGTTTTGTAGCCTAGAGTAAATAGCAATAAAATTATTCAGCCATTGATTGACATTCTCTCTTAGAAGATGCAATTATGAATGCATCGCCCATCTTCTGTAGCTAGAGAGCAGTTTATTTTGGTTTGAACTCCGAAGCTTCTATGACTCTGTGCTTATGCGAGCTAGCACGCGGCTGGCCAATAAGTTCTTTAGCTCTAACGATCATCCACTCAATGCTCTAGGGAACGCCCAATCGTACCACATATTGCAGCTATCCAGAAAACAACAAACATAGTTAACTAGTTAGGTTACTGAAGCCATTCTTTAGGTCTGCGATCTGGGTGGCAATCTTCAAAAATGTGTAACGAAAAACGCCGTATGCCGAAGATAACCAACTGGATCGCCAGGGTCAACGAGAAGTCTATGATCTTTATAATCCAATTGGTCGTTTTCGACACATGGGGCTTTTCACCACATATAGACAGGCGTTAGCTGAAGACTAAAGTTGGCTCAATTCGCCTTATTCCAGGGATTTACGGGCCCAAACAATGATGGCTGGCTAGGCAAGGTACGATTGTAATGTCTATCCCTGCGTAACGGGACACCCTGCGTGCTGGGACGCCATAAACAGCCCCCAACACAACAAATACAAAGACGGGCTAGAGGCATACAAACTCTCAGGATAGTAGCCTTGAATGACAAAATCTATCTCCTCTCGAGGCCTCTTCGAGATAGATTCTGCTTAACGTGTAATACGATAATTTAACATAACTATCACGCGACTGCCTCAATTCAATTAGCGATAGGTGCGTCTAAAGCTTATGCATCTTATTAAAACTCTGTCAAACTACAGCTCGTTATATGCCTATCTTATTCCGAACACTGCGCTTAGGCTTAAAAGGTTGTCGTGTTGTTGTGCTAAATCTATGTCTACCTGCTAGAAGTGTTAGATCTGTGGCTGCGTGGCTGTGTAGCGGCGTACTAGCGGTGTGGCTGTTCGCCGCCTTTGCTAAGCACTCTATGTTGGTGTTAAAGTCGGCCAAGTAGCTAATAATTAGATCGCCGGTGTTGATTAGCTAAGCGGTTGGGATTCGTTGATGAGTGAGAGATTGCAATAGAACTGGGGGTGTACTAATATAGTAAAGGGGGGACTTTCTATATTATTATTATTATTCTAGTTGAACGTCCTTTTTCAGCCCAAAGGGCTATATAAGACGTGTAGGATTTTTAGGCCTACAAGTATCTAAGTAGGTTGTTTCTAGCTACAATATTTAGGAGGGGTTTTAACTAGATGAAGGTGAGGCTCGTAGCCTATTAGTTGGTAGGTAGGGGGGGATAGGGTGGGGGAGGTGTATGGCTACCTGTTACAGGTATTACTCCTCGTTTTCTGTGTTTCCTTTGTACTAGGCTTGTGTTCTAGCCTTTGTTTCTTGAATAAAGGTAATAGTTGCTTCTATACCCTCTTTTGTTTGAAAGAGG